AGAGACAGACAGACAGACAAACAGACAGACGGACAGAGACAGACAGACAGAGACTCTCCTTTTTTTGGAGGGAGGGGGGGGATTTTCCAAATACCCCCATAAGTTCAGATATATGTCAAATGTCCCTAAAAGATATGGGCACAGTGGCATGACCTTTTGGGCTGACATATTTGTGTTATGCCCCTGTTAGGCGGGTGTGCAAATTCGCTTGGCTTTTTGCAATTCACAAAGTTGGGCAGAGACCGGTAGGGGTACATTGACAAAGATGGGGTCCAACTGATGGCTGGGGTGTTTCGCAAAATGTTTTTGTCATCATCCTTCGCTGCAGCATAGCTGCGGCAGGTCCACTTGTCCTATTACTTGCTGAAAACCGGCTCCAGCATCCCTTACAAAAAAATACTCACTCATGCTTCCTTCCGTTATGGCTGAGGGAACCCAAGACAAGGGCAGTGATTACTTCTTTTTTTTTTCAGTTTTGTTTTGGGTTATATATTTTCTGAATATTGTTCAAGACTTTGAATAGTCACTAACAAGCACTGCCGATCTTTCCGGTCATGTGGGCGGCAGCCTACACGCCTATGCAGGTCAGCTGGCACGATCGCTTACTCAGCAAGCTGCAAACAAGAACCAATTCTTGATCGGATTGTCGCAGGCGGCTTCAACTATTGTCCAGATGGGGTCACACCTTATGAAGACCTTGATATTCAGGTAGGGTAAGTGAGGAAAAGGTAAAGCATCGGGTAGGGTAAGTGAGTAGAAGGTAAACCATTGGGTAGGGTAAGTGAGTAAAAGATAAACCGCTGGGTAGGGTAAGTGTTAAACCGCTGGGTAGGGTAAGTGTGTAAAAGATAAACCATCGGGTAGGGTAAGTGAGTAAAAGATAAACCACCAGGTAGGGTAAGTGCGTAAAAGATGAACCATGCATAGTATCAAGCTATTTGAATTTTGAAATCTTCTTTACTACATGCATCATTTTGAACCTGTCCATGATTTTTTTTTTATTTTTTTTTTTGAACCTGTCCATATTCTACACTTGTGTCCATAGCCCAGCCAGCAGAGATTGCATATTTGCCAGACAGAAGGTGTGCATACAGCATAGTACGAGTAAATCTGATGTTCTCATGGGAATCCACTGTGTACACGAATACATCCGTGCAGCATGGATCCTGGATGAATACCTTACCTTCCCAATTACGTCAGGAGGAGGAATGGAGGGCACTAGCCAGACCGTACGCAATTGACTTTGCAGTGTCTGCACGAATAGGCAAACATGTGCCAGAAAAGACAAGAGAAATGTGGAAAGGGCGATGTTGCTGAGCCGAGGAAGAACTTTGCGGAAAGGAACCACAAAAGGAGGTCGTGTTCTGACTTTGAGCTTCAAAGCAAGTGAACAACAATTTGTGCGTTCATGATCGGAAAACTGAAAACAATGGGGGGTCATGAAGCCAGGGAGGGCAGAGCTGTACGTTCAAACTTCAAACGATAAATCATTCTGTAAGGCAATCATGAGCGGGGCGGTTTTGTGCGAGAGAAAGTAAGAAACAGCCCTTTGGTAGTGTGGCCACAGTGAAGACACGGCTTTCCGCATTGACCACATAGGAAGACGGTGTTTGGTGGAGGTACTGGTCTTTTTTTTCAGAACTGTAGGATTGGAACTGCAAATTGTTGGTTCTCGGTTAGGTTGTCACGTTTTACGACATGCATGCTTTCGGTTAATAAATTAACAAAATGTGAAGAAAAGGGAACAGAAGACAGTACAAGTAACTTGACGGTAATGGTGATTGAAGTAATTCCAGGTTTTGCTTCTGTTGTGGTGGTTGCTCGAGTTGTGCCCAATCCATTCTTATGCAATGACTGTGGCATTGTTTTGTCTTTCGACACAGAGGTTTTGATTGAACGTCAACCGAAGATGGCACGTGTAAGGTAATGGTCGTCGAACTGTGATCACCCCAATACAACGTACGGTCATTATGGTTGTATCTAGATTCAAAGTTGCCCCAAAAACAGCTACAATGACCGTACATTGTATTCGGGTGAACACAGTAATTCCAGGTTTCGCTTCTGTTGCGGGTGTTGCCCACATTCTGCCCATGCCACTGTTATGCAATGAGGATGGCAGTCTTTTGTCTTCCGATGCGCAGTTGTTTTGATTGCGTGTCGTTTTGTTTTGTTGCATTCGTTTCTTTTCACAGATCGAAACTACGATACATGAGATGATCCATGCTCTGGTGTTCAACATTCCTATATTTGAGAGCTTTAAATTCCCAAATGGTTGGTGCCTCTGTCCCCATGCGTCTCACTTTTGCTCAGCTTTTCCTGAGTACCCTTAGGTGAAAGGGCTTGCAACTTTGCATCCTCTAAAAAGTCTACAATTTCTACAATTCTCCAGCATCTAAGCATCCTATAGAAAAAGTAAAAAAAAAACTGTAATTTCTACAACTCCCTAGTATCCACTACTACCTGGTCGATGTCAGCTTGACTTCGGACATAATGTTCGTAGGGGAAGGTGACCAGAAGGGGGGTACAGAGATTGGTCTAGATGGCAAGGTATCTGACGCTACAGCATACCGGCTGACCCCTGGCCAGTATCGCCCACCGGCTGTCGCAGGTACTCCACCTCCCGGTGGGTGCGGCCACCGTAGGCTCCGTCATTGGAGGCAAGAACACAGATCTGACTGCTATCGGGTTCCCTGTAATATTAAAACGATAACGAAAAGGCCTGAGAGGCCGTCCTGTCCAGATTTGACAGGTTTGAATCGGGGCGGGCTTAACAGAATTAGCCTTGAAAAAAAAATTCAAATTTTCAAAAAAATTGAAAAAACTTGAAAAATAGCTACCCCAAAAAGATGTGGGGAGACCGCAATGCCCTTCTGCCAAAGAAAAACAAAGAAGCTGTGCAGCATTGCAATAAGGTTGATGTCAAAATTTGGCAACAAAAGTCGAAAAAAAAATCAAAACGAAAATAACAGTATTCTTTTAGGGCACTTCTGGTCTGAATCAGTTCCAGACCCAGTCGAGACTCCAGACTGTCTGGTGTCGGGACTGGGGGTTGGTTGATGGGCATAGAGTCATATACCAATCTTAGCCACCATTTGCTTTCACACTTTCCCCAGGTTGAGCTTTTTTTTTTTTTTTAAGGTTGAGCTAGTTCAAAAGGGACCGGGCCAAAAAAAAAAGAAAAAAAAAGAAAAGGGACCAGGCGGTCAGTTTTGGTAGCGGCCTGGAGGACGTGCAGTGGCATGCACAAGGGAACTGGACCACCGACCTCCACCATCAGAGCACGGATTACAACTGACACAACAGCGAAAACCCGTGGCGAAACAAGAAGTTGGGCTTTTGCGGCTGAGGGCTGAGGCTCAGCAAACAAGGGTTGGGTGAAACACAGGTTTGACAGATTAGGGTCGAGGCCAGTCCTGGTATAAGGGGGGGGGGGGGAACAAAAAACATGGTCCTCTCTCTGTTCTATTCTGGGAGCAGCAGTTTGGTACCTTTCCCCTCGCAAGTCAGTAAAGTGGACATGAAGACTCACCACATGACCACATGTCATTAGTGGTTTAATGAAGTTTAATCCCAACCATTGCCTTCTTTCTTATGGACCATGGCTTGCAGGCTGGGGTTGAGGGAAGGGAGGGCTCAGATCCTGAGTGTATAAAGGCCTCCATTATTCTCCATACCTTCTTCTTTTCTTTTTTTTCTTTTTTTTTTTTGATAAACAGGTCCTTATGGTCCTGGCTCCATATCCATTCCGGGGAGCTTCAGTCCGGTTCCTACTCCCCCAGCAAGTCAAGATTGAGTACATCATGATACACGCTCACGCTTCCTTCCGTATGGCCAAAGGAACCCTGACCAGCATTGATTGCTCGTGCTAGGAGGATTGACTGTCACCCTGCCTTTCCCTAATCTCCCTCTCAGATTCCTCTATGGGAACCTGTCAGATATGCTTATCAAGCAAGGACAAATGGGATCAGCAAATGGGTAGCTTTTGAGTAGCACTGAGAAGGCGTGTTCATCCTTATGTGGCGCGTGGATCCTGTGGGCCTCCTGTTGCCTGAAGAGTTGAGCTCCTATAGCTCACTTCTGAGTTATGCCACTCTTTCCACTGTATGTTGTGGTTGCTTATTTCTGCAATTCTCCTCCCCACCAGCCAACTTTTGACAAACTTGGATAGGATACTCTTCTGTCGGTCCTCGTCATTGGGCATAGAACGTCTTGTTTTTTGCCATCTGCATAGGATCCCCGCCTGTATCAGGGTCCTTGTCTCCGCCCATACCTTTTTTCTTGGAGTTGGTAGTCCCTTTGATGGTCCTGCTGCATCTCTCCTTCCAAATCGACCAAAGTGCAACCTTTCTGATCATGCCATACCATGTCCTCTCGGTGCTGTTGAGATGAGTCGGGATGTTAGTCCATAATAGAAGTTGGATGGGATGTTCAGGGAGGGGTGTTCTGAAAAGGGAGTCCCAGAGGTCCGAGGCCCTAGCCCAGTACTCCGTTGCTTCCTGGACATCGGATTAGGCAGTGAAGTATGTCTTCCGGTTCATTATCTGAACAGACTGTGCGTAGATCAGAACTGTTAGGATCATTCCTCCGTCTTCTAATGTGGAGCCATTGGTTAACAGGTAGCGCCACGTAGGCGATAAGCCATTGGAGACTCCTAATTTTGACCCGCCTGATTGATTTGAATTTCTTCCATGGGATTTGTGAGATCTGGTCTGCCTCTTGACCAATTAATTTTTGCCATCTGCTTCTGATTGTAGCTTTCGGATCTTTAGTCTCGAGGAATAACTTGTACGTTGTAACCCATTTTCAATGAGTAGTCCTGGATGTAAATATTGGACCTGATGTCCAGGCCCATTCTGCTGGGTCGAATTCCAGGTCCTGGATCGCTGTGTCCATTCTGAAGATCGTTTTGGGCCAGGATCCCGTAACTCTCACTTTCCTGAGGAAGATGTCTAGGCTTGTTCTTTCCACGTCTTTGTCCAAAATAGCAGCAGAGCCATGGACTGACAGCAGTGCTGGGTAGGACCTGAATACAGCACGTATATTGGAGCCTGGTTGTTTGTGTGAGAATTGGTAGGCCCTCGAGGGGGGCATTTCCGGTGTCCAAATACCCCATTCGCCCGTTTTTCAAGTTGACGTTCCCTTCAGCAATTCATTCCAACCTTCCGAGATACTGTTGACGAGTGTCTGTAGGTTCCTGTCTTGCCGGTGGCAGCCCTTAAGGCGAGAGGCAAGCTCCTGGTCCGTTACCCAGTCTCTTTTCTCTTCATCCCACACATGACCGATGTTCCACACTCCATGCTTTATCTATGATAGCCATCGCGTACCTCTGGGTTTGAGGGAGAGCGAATGACCACTTTCGTCTCTCAACCATGGATTGCCAAAGAGGGGTTGCCTCCATACCTCTTCCCTACACTTGGGTTTGCCGACTTTTCTCGGCATGATTTCCCTCCATATGCGTAGCAGAGCTTCCCAATAGGGTGTGGGAGGTCTGGCTTCCTAAGGGTTGATTCCTCATCTGCGATTTCTGCATTCTGTTTTTGGCATCCATTCCTTGTTCATTACCCAGAATAGCCCACACATGTTTGCTGGAGTCCGTACCGGGGCTAGGCCTCTGATGCTGTCTATAGCTAGTTTATTCCATGTTGTACCTGGTTTAGTCAGAAGTTTAGTGATCCATTCGTTTGGGAGGGCTTTGGTTTCTTGTTTGGGATCGATGATACCCAGACCTCCTTTACTTGGTTTCCTAGTAATCAAATGCCATGCTATCTTTGAGATGCAGTTAACTCTATCGGGGTCACCTGACCACAGGTAAGCTCTCGCTTTTCGGTTGAGTTCATTAATTGAGTTGTTTCAACTTATTTGGCATTGTTCAAACTGAGGCTGTGTACCACATTATCGAGAAAATAGAGGTATTGATGGTTAACGTGCGACCGAGCAGGGATGTAAAGGTGTTACTCCACCTCCCCATTTTGTGGATTTGTTTGGTCAGCACGTTTTGGGCCATCTGGGGGGCAGAACCTTCTTTTGTCATTAGGATCCCCAGATATCGTGTAGGCGTCTCACGTGTTTCTCAGGTCATCGCTGCCTCTGGGCCTTGGAGCTGAGGGGATTTTTCCTCTGACAACCACCATCCAATCGTTTTGTTCCAATTGATCTTCATTTCTGAGGCCAGTCTGAACGCTTCCATAGCTTTCACAAGGGCACGTAAGGATGAGTCTGAGGCTCCTATAAGAACGGTGAGATTGTCTGCAAACATTATTACCGTCGGGAATTTCATATGGTGTGCTGAACCTGCGTTGACTTCTGGCAGTCTGTGAATGGAAGGGTCTTTTCCATAGGAAATAGGCTATTGCTTCGATGACAAACATGAAGATTGGAGGTGCTAATGGATCACCTTCACGGACTAAGCGTGAGATTGGGTAGCAATCTGACAACAGGCCATTGATCTGTACGCATGCTATGGCATCGTTGTACATGATACATACCCATTTTTTGGAAGTTGGCCCTCCTCCCATCTTTTCCATGCTTGCCTTCAGGAAGGCCCAATTGACCTGGTCATATGCCTTCTCAGAGTCGAAGAACAATATTGTTGTGTTGATCCTCTTCTCTCGTACTCTATTTGCCTCTTCGTTAAGAGTGAGTACATTGTCCAGAATGTAGCTCCCCGAGATGAAGCCTGTTTGATCTATATGAAAACACTTGCTGGTGAGATCAAGGATCCTAGAAGTCAGGGCTTTGGCTAGGATTTTATAGGGCAGTGTAAGTAGTGAAATGGACCTATAGTTATGTATGTATTCTTTTTCACCTTTCTTGTATAGTAGTGTAACCATGCTGCTGCTCAACAGATTCCCTAGCCTCCATGCTGCTGCTCAACAGATTCCTTAGCCCACTCTTTTGCCAACTGTCATGGTATAGGTTTTGTAGGTCGCCTCCTAGGAGTGGCCATAACTTTTTCCATAATTTTTTTGTTAATCCGTCAATACCTGGGTTTTGTTGTTGTTCATGCTTTGGACTGCAAATTGCAGTTCCTCCAAAGTGATGGGTTTGTCTAGAGAGGCCGCCTGTTCTTGTGATATTGTTTTGTCTAGATTCTGGAGAATTCTAGTTAGAGCTTCTCTGGTGCTGGAGGGGTGGGTGTCAAGGTATTTGTATGGTAGAGCTCCTCGTAAAATTCCTTGGCTATGTTTAGCATTCCTTTGGTCTCCATCAGAGTTTCCGCCGGATCAGTGAGAGTTTTGAGGCCCTCTATTGAACTGGATTTTGCGTTTGTC